AACTGCCTCGCTTTCTTTCTGGTCCAGACAAGTACTGTGGCATCCTGTATCGGACCGCAATCACAGCATAAGGGATGCTTTTTTTTTTTTTTTTTTTTAAGTGCTGGTCGTGGATAGACTGAACTGCCTACGGCCGAGTTTCAACTGCAATTGAAACTCGGCCCCTGACTAAAGTGCCAAATCGGTGTCGGGCCAAGGACGCGTGTCGCGTGCTGCTAAGTTCCTGCGAAGGGCGGTTTTAATCATACGGTTGGCATTTTCGGCCAACCCGTTCGACTGGGACACGTGGGGTGCCGTATGTCGGAGCGTGACGCCCCTTCGCGCAAGCAGTTCTTCTACCTCACCTTTGAATTCAGACCCATTGTCGGTTAGAATTTCTTCCGTATCTAGATAAGTATAGAGGAACCGCTCGATGTACGTTGCTATTTCTGCGGCCTTTCGGGTCTTACAGGGATAGACTTCGATGTACTTGGAAAAATGGTCTATTAATACTAAAAGGATAAAATATTAGCAGCGGTTTGGGCCAGGTGGCACGTCAATATCTGTCGTGTCCATACTGACTCGCTGGAAAGGACGCTCCACTTCCGTCGGTACCATCGTGTTTGGTCCCCATATTGGGGCGCGATGAGCGGCACAGACCAGACAGTTGGCAACAATGTATCTGACATCATCTCGTATGTTGGACCAGAACCGTCGGTTCTGGTCGATAGTTGCCTCCGTGACACGTATCGCAAAATGAGCGGCCTGTTCCTCGTGAGCAGATCGGATCCAATCATATCTCTGGAATGGATGAGGAACTGTCAACCACGAACCCGATCCGTCAGTTTTACGCTTCTCCAGATGACCGTTGATCCACCGATAGTCCCGGGATCTCTCCGTTGCCCTACGTCTGTCGTGTTTGGTGAGATGACCCATTGATAATCACGCTAATTTTGCCAGTAAAGTTTTATCCGTCCAAACTTTCGCTCATCGGTATTTTTCGTCGTATTCGGGGCCGTTCGTATGGGCGGTCTCGAATCGAACCTCCGTGGGGAGTTTATTCGTTCTACACAGGGGGCACCTCCATTCCTTGCTACTCGTTCGATATCGAACAAAAGCCCGGTGCGCACGATTGATACACGTGGCACATTCTACCCAATCGATAAACCCGGTTTCGAAAGGATGACAGTCGACCCCATAAACCCGTGCAATACACGTGCAAAAATAGCAAAATTTATCGGGAAGGGTGTCAAAGAAAGCTGAGGAAGTGAGAGGGGCAGAATTAGTAGGAGAAGAAGGGGTCGCAGAGGCAGGTGGGGTAGTCATGGTGACAGAGGGGGAGAGATGAGACTGAATTGTGGAGAGAATAGAACAAACAAATTAGTCCTCGTGTCACTTACTGCTTCGACAAGATCTTCACTTGGCCGTACCGAGGTCCAAGCTCCTGTTCGGGTTCGTTCCACGGAATCACCTCCTCATTCTTCGGAACTTTCTCAGGCCGGTGCAGCCGTGTCAGTCTGTCTGCATTCTTCTGTCTCTCGTGCTTCCGATGACGAATGTCAAAATCCATGCTCTACAGCACCGTTGCCCATTGCCCGATCATGCCCGAGTAAATCTTTGATTTCTTCAGAGCCAGCAGGGGCTTATGATCGGTTACCAAGGTGAACTTTCGCCCGTACAGGTAGGCGCGAAAATGACTGATTCCCTAGAGAGCCGCGTAGCATTCTCCCGTCGGAGCGGCGTAGTTGCGCTTGTAGGTGGGCACCGATTTGGACGCATACTTCACCACAATCTCGAGTCCACTGGGTCCTACCTGGGCAAGGATCGCCGAAATCGCCTCTGGCTGCCAGTCAGTGATGAGAACAAAAGGTTCTTCGGGATCCGGCCTTATAAGGACCGGAGCCGAAATGAGAGCGGCCTTGAGTTTGGAAAATGCCTGAGCACACTCCGGCGTCCAGATCAACGGCTGATCTTTGCGTAGTAGATTTGTGAGGGGTCCCGCAATCGCCGCGAAGCCCTTGATAAATCTTCAGTAGTACGAGGCCACGCCCAGAAAGGCGCAAACTTGCGTGATAGTCGTAGGCACCGGTGCATCTCTGACAGTTGCCACCTTCTGCGGCTCTGGTTGGAGCCCTTGGTCTGTCACCACGTGCCCTAGGAAGGAAATTGTGGTGAGGAAAAACTGACACTTCTCAAGCGCCACCTTGAAGCCTGCATCTCGCAACGCATGCAGAGCCCATTCGATGTGTTGCACGTGTCCCTCATAGGAACTCGAGTACACCAGAATGTTGTCCATGTACACAATCACACAGTAGTTGATAATGCTTTGTGCTAATCGAGTTTTCCGCACGAAATTATAAAAAGCCATATTCATGGCTCGCTGGAAGGTCGCGGGGGCATTGCAGATACCCATCGGACATCGGATCCACTGCCGCGTACCCTCGAAAAGCACGAAAGCCGTTTTTGGTCAATCTTCTTCTCGGACAAGAAGATGACGAAACTCATGACGAACATCAAACTTGCTGAAAAACCGAGCACTCCCAATCGCATCAAACAACTCATCAATCCGAGGGAGGGGGTACACATCTTTGATCGTGATATCATTCAATTTTTGGTAACCAATGCAAATGCGAATCCCTCCGGCTTTTTTAGGCACGATTACTACAGGAAAATACCATGGACCTATAGCGGGTTCGATCCATTCAGTAGCTTCGAACTCCTTAATCCGCCGAAAAGCCGCCGCTCTTTGAGCTGGCGAGTGTCGATAAGGAGCCATCTAATGGGTGGATGGTCTCCCGTGAGAATGGCAAGCTCGATCACGTTAGTTAAGCCGATGTCATTATCGTGTATGCTCAATACTTCTGCGTAGCTATTTAAAACACAGACTAACGATTATTGAAGTTCCACTGGAACGTGACCTGGTAGGGTGATTGTTGATTCTCCGGAAATCTCAAGGGGCATGTCGACCCAATCAACCGGCCATTCCCGCCG